CCCCCCCCCCCGCCGCCCCTTCCGACGTGTTTCCCTTTGCTGTACAAGCTGATGGAGATCAGCGAGTTCTCATTAAAGAGAGTGACTTAACCCTGCGCGTCCCTTGCGTTCCTTGCGCGGCCCGGCCCCCCTCCGGGGACTCTCAGCGGCAGCAATTCCCCTTTTGAAGCCTGTAAACGGTGCTGGTATTTTAACGTCTTTCAAAAATAATTTAAATAGCCGCTTTTTCAGCTCACAGCCCGGGCAGGACCGCTCTGCACCGGTCGTGTCCCGCCCCGTCCGTGACCCGTCGCTCCGAACCGCCGGCAGCGGGCGGCTGCCTTCTGCCCTGCACCGAAAAGCGATGCACGGAGGGTACAAACACCCCAAGCCATAAACCAAGGGGATCGGGCTCCGCCGGGGGGGGCACTGCCTCCAGCGCATCCGAGGGAGGGTTCCGCAGCCTCTCTGCGCCCTGTCCCTGTGGGGGAGAGGAGAAAAGGACCCCCCGCCTGCCCCAAACTTCCCAGGGGGTCCCCATCGCCCAGCTCCCTGCCTCTCCTCTGCCTCAGCCCCAGCCTCTCCGCAGCTTTTACAGTAGTCGCTATCAAATGTCAATTATTGGGAGTGAGAAACAACAAACACTGTAATTCAGCGCAGTCAAAACATCCTCCGAGTGTCTGAGATTGTCCGGCCCGGTGACAAGGCAATTAAGGAGAACCTGCAACCTCTCCTGTCTTGGCCATATCGGCCCCATCAGTAAACAGGGATGGAGACAGGGTGGCTATGGCCCTGGGACATAGGATGAAAGGCTGCTGGTGAATGGAAGCTGCCTGCAGCCTCTATCCCTCCTTCCCAAGGGGACCAACCTCACACACACCCCTGGGTAGGATTGCACAGATAAGGAGCTCCGACCTCCTTCCTATCTCTGCAAATAGAAGGGGAGCCCTGGGTGCTGCTCACAAAGTCCCTAATGCAGCATGGAGCATAGACACCTGTCTGGGGCTCAGGGAGAGGCAAAGGGTGGCCTTCTGTCTTAAGTGCCCTCTCTGGGCACTTACCCCGGAGAGGCAGAGGGACACAAGGTCTGTTACAACAAAGGGGACCAGAACATGCCAGCCTGAAGCAGGGACAAGGGGCTGCTGACCCCGAAGTGCACAGCCCCACAGCTGTGCAGCCCGGGAAAAGGCAAAGGCTGCTACTTTTCCTCATTTGAAACCCCTCCAATCCTGGTATCACTGGCTGTGTGATGACTTTTGCCTTCTTCCCATACAGACTTTGCATTGGAAGGACACATGCTTCAACAGATGGTAGAGAGGCAGCAGGTTAGCCAGAAAGTACTGTGCTCCAAGAGGGCCAAGAATGTCCATCTTCCTGGGAGTCCCAGGCAAAGAGCATGGGAGGGGGCAGGAGAAAGCTGGGTTTAAACTCTGCCACTGTTGCATGCTGTGAGGGAGTCACAGTTTGGTATCTCTGTTTGCCTGACTTGCAAAATGGGCACAATGCTGTCATCCCACTCTGTGATGCTGTTGTCACTGAACGTGCTACTGCAGAGCTTGGCCAGGCTCAGAGCTCCCAAGGAGCCCTCAGCAGACAGGACAAGTCCAGAGTTAAAATCAGGGAAAGCATTAAGATTAGCTAAAATTTGAACAACTACTTTGGGAAGCTGACCCTGAGAGGGCCCTCTATTAAGTAGTCTAGCAAGATGGACTGCACTGGGACTCCAGGAAAAGCCAGAGGAAAAAGTAACTCCAAGCATGAGCACAGCACCCCTCTCCACATACTCCAAACATCTTTCTCTTCCCCAGATCCCTTAATTTATTCAAATCTGTTTATTTTCCACCTGTAATAGCTCAGAGCTACAGCTATTGGGGAATCTGACTGGATGTAGCCTGCTGTGGTTCTGCAGGGGCTGTTCTGGGCACAGGACTGCACTGTGCTCATTCTCACTGGGGATGGATGTACTCCAGCCTCTGTCCACGCTGCTGCTCACACGCTCCCCCCTCCTCCTCAACTCTTCCCCATTCCTGCGGGAATTGCATCACGAGCAGATGCATGGCAGGATAAGAGAGGGGCCTGGAACGGCAGCCGGAGCCTTGGAGCCGGTTCAGAAAGCGGTTTAGGCAGAGGCCAGGAGCACAGCTGGCTGAGCCCGAGCAGCCCCGCTCTGGCAGGGGCACCCGCAGCCGGGAGCCAGGCAGGGTTAGAGACCTTTCCTGAGCTGGGTTAAGGGGAAGCGCGAGAGACACGCACAGGAGGAACTAACCCTCAGCGCACTCATTTTGGCCAAGGGAGGCTCTCTGTCTTCCCATGCACAATCAGCCCATTGCTGCTAGTCCTGCTCTTGCAGGTCTGCCTCGGCTGCGGCTCCGCAGCCAGCGGAGCCAACAGGGTCAGGCGGCGGTAAAAGGTCTGCCCGGGACTCCCAAAGGCACCCGGGCTGCGGGCACACACCGCAGCACCGTGATGTGCTCTCCTGACTCCAGTCCTCTCAAACGCTTAGAAAAACTGAGCAAAGACAAGTTTCTCTGCCTCAGCCTGAAGTGTTTCACAACTTCAGGGCAATTTGAAAAGCTCGTGGTTATAAAACTTTATTCCAGAGGAAAATGTAGGATACTGGTGGTTTATTTTTCAGGGAATCCAAGATTATAGATCCTTTGTGTTTGGGAGCAAGCTGAGGGGACTCAGGAAAGAGGTTTTAATTAGATCTAATCTTACTCTCCTTTCCTCAGCTTTTATTTTTTGCATTACACAGCCTGGCACCAGCATTAATTTCTCTGTTTTATAGCAGCTTTTTTAGAAGAATTCGGTGCACCAACTCCACGTGAAGGTAACAGAGCAAGTGCTGCTTCAGACAAACCACGTATGGTCGGTTTATACAAACTATTTGGAATTCACATAATTTGTACAGGAACAAGTTGTCAGCTGTAAGGAACTGATACCAAATCCCTCGCCTTTAGCAGGTTTGCAGGAACTGAAGTAATTGTTTTTCCCAAATGACACCCCTGCAGTTCCTAAAAGGCATCTGAGGCCAGCAGTTTATTCGTTAAATTCAAGGCATATTCACATAGAAAGTTATTATTTGGAATCAGAAAATAAGGAACTACGTCCTGGCAGTAATTAGCTAAATGTTTCCATGTTCCTGAGAAGCCCAACAGAAAAACAACAGATCAACAACCCTCTCTCCCTAGCCCCCTGCTCCCAGTTCCACTCACTGACAACACTTTAGATCAGTATCAGCAGTAAGTGATAACAGGGATTATTAAGAAGAATCAACACCTTTAAAATGCTACTCCAACATTGTCTCCAAAGTGAGAAAGGGATAGGCTTTCAGGCTGGAGTCTAATTTTTCATTCTTTGGTGGTTATTAACTACAACACGAACTCAATGCCACATTTTGATGCAGAAAGAGAGGGAAGTGGAGATTTCTTCTAACAGAAGATCAAGCACTGGCAATACATTTGTGAAAGTTCATCAATCAAGGTTTAGCCAAATGACATGGAATAAGTTACTTGACAATCACTACCTGTCTCCTGCAGTCATTTAAAACCCTGTCACTCCAGAGCATCATTCAGTGAGAAAGCCCCATTTAGTGACAAGCTGATGGGCAGAGCAGTCCATCAACCACAGGACTTTTCTAACTTCTCCCTAGTTCACTTCCACACCAAAGGAAATTCCAGCAGGGTTCTTCTTCCCATCAGCTTTTCCTCTCTCAAAACAGCTTGCTGTATTATTTCAGTGCAAACGCTAACCGAGCCTCAACAGAGGTCTCATCCTTACTGCTTCCTCCACTTCATGGGCAGGACACTAATCCACACCGATTTTTTCCTTCTTAGTATCAACAAGGGATCTTTTAGGATCTCAGACTCCCCTGTTCTCAGTTCCCATTTGCACTCTTCAGAAAACACAGCAAATACATACACAGAGCTGAACTAGATTATTGCTGCTGCTTCTAGCTACAGTGAAGGTTGTACTGCTGCGCCTTGGCTAATTGACCACTTGTAAAGTCTCTCCACCATTTCTGTCACAGCACTACCCAGACTTGCCCCAGACTGCTGCTTAAAATGGCTACTAGAGCTCATGGGCTGACTGAGATGAGTTTAAATACACAAGTTTCTGTATTGGTGTAAAGGAGTTACTGGAACTGCAAATCACACATAAGCCACGTCAATGGAGTCTGGATGAACAGGCTAAGAGGCAGGATAAGACAGAAAATAAACTGTTTCCCCAAAACTGAGGAAGATGAAAAGCCAACAGAAACCCAGGAAGAGAGTTGAAAATTCAGAAAGCAAAGCAGGGCATTTTAAAACCAGCTCTGTGTGCTGAGCACTTGATGCACTGACTCCACTGAGACTATAGCACATCTGTTAAGTCATCCTGCACAAAATAAC